GGGGGGGGGAGCACACACCCGAGGGCAGCAGAGGACCACAGCGGGCCGGGAATGGCTAAGCGACTACTTGTCTACGACGATATTATGGGGGTGAGGCGTGGCGGGGTGGTCTTGGACAGGCGGGGTCCGGGTGGGGCGAGCGGCCGTTCCCCTGTGTCCACACACTTTTATGGCGTGTAGTCTCCGCCTCGTATTGTGGCATAAATTGCAATATTATGGGGCAGTATGTGTTGTTCGCGGGGCGTAGCGGAGCGAAGTGTGGTTCTTAGGGGTCAACTTCAGAACACGTATAATAGCCAAAACGATCTTTGAAAATATTTACCAGATGGTTTCTTTTCAGATAGGATATAAGATGGGAAAACACTGCATGACACATAGTTCCTGAGAGAAAACATCACGGTACGTCCCACCTTCCAAAGTGATGTCTTTTGTGTTTTTCAATTTTTTCTTTTGCAGAATACCGTCGGCGACCAAAAGCCGTGTGTCCACTTGCCCTACCCTCTTCGGAGGGCCCTACAGGCCAACCCGAAGAACCAGTTGCCGGTGCATTGCACGCAGGCGCGCGCGCACGCACGCACACACACACACACACAGAATCCATCTCTCTCGCACACTGGGTCCGAGGGGTGCAAGGAAGAGACAAGGACAGCGCACCAGCAGAGCGCCGCCGCCGCCGCCCCGGTCGTGGGAAAGAGGACCGGAGAGTCTCCCAAGTGACAATGGCAAAAAGCACTGGTTGGTCATTTTAAATGTTGATCCTTTTTTTCAAGCTGCCAAAAATTTACAGTTTAATAAAAACGCATCCTCCTGAGCAATACGTGTTTCATGGTGAACAAGAATTGGAGACGTGCCGCGTCGAGGCGTGCGCCGCGGGCCCCCAGAAGCGGCTGCAGCTGGCGCTCCTCGATGGACGTTTATGGGATCATAATGATAATGAAAGACGACCCATGATTACAGAACTCGGTGCGTGTCCAATCCGCAGGCAGCGCAAAAGTTTCTCTTCAATATATTGCGGGGTAAAAATTACAACAGGCCATACTTTTTTACTCTCTTATTTAGCAGTCATCTTTCTATGTATTCTACAAAAATAAAGGATGTTAATATTTTTAAGCGTACTTGACTCATTTGAGGTGATAGAATAGCAGAACGCGGGACTTATTATTCGTTATTTTCCACACAAGCCAGTGTGGCGAGGTGGCAGTCCTATATCGTCGCGTGAGCCTCGTGCCTGTTTCTCTGTGGGAATATTATAAGGGGGATATATTGAAACACAGCACAACGAGGGGGGAGGAGACGACGCCAACGGAGACATAGGAGGGGGATACATGTTCTGAATCAATTGTCTTTTGTTTCCTTTGTATACTGTGCAATTCAATCGCCCCGGACCAAAGGCATATGAGCGTTTCCTATGCCCCCCGCCGCCCCTCCCTCCAACCATCTGCCTCCTCACACACTCTCCTGCCCTGTGCCTCATCATAGCACGCATCAGAATGATGAAAGGAGGAAGATACGGGCAGAGAGAGAGAGGGAGAAAGGGAGGAAGGAGAGGGGAGGGGGGAGGAGTGGCTCATCGCGTCGTAAATCATGGCCCGGGATCTTGTATGCCGCGGCATAAATGGCCACGCACCGAGTCACAACTGCAGCGACTTGGGGCAACCCAAAGCGGCAACAACTGCAGCAAGTGCAACCTCAACGGCAGAGCGCTGCTTGTAGTGCGCGCCGCACGGGAGCACCGGCCGGCAGATTTATTTACGGTGAAAGAGACGTCGTTTCGCTGCGTTTGTGTTTCATATTGACGAATGACCTGTTCAACCCTTCAAAACTTTGAGGTGGTTCAAGTCACAATTCAACCCAAGTTTTGTGCACTTACGAGCTTAATACGTAGTTTCTTCCGAGTATTCAATTGCACCCTTTCCAAGTAGAATCGCACTCGGGTAGAGGAGGGGTGCAACTATCGAGTTGCGCACTTTTAAGTACACAACTTGTGGGTTGACACTTGCAAGCAAGAATTTGCGAAATTTAAGCGATGTACACTCTTCAGTGTACTAATGATAAGAGACGGGAAAGGTGAAAAGTATGAAACATATTACGTACCCATTATCCCTCACCCCGGGTCCGGAGGCGGTGCACGATCCTCGAAAAATTACTCTGGACGGCAAATTTACCACTTTTTTTCACCTGCTACGCTATCACCTTGCACATTTTTTCTACGCCAGTTACTACACCACCCAGTCGGGGGCGTGCAGGGGCTCGCGGGACTGCCTCGTGTGGATGTGCTCGGTCCAAGGCCAAGGCCGACGATTTTTAGAAGCGCGAGAGCAGTACCGCGCGAGCCAGCGGGTAAGGCTGAGCAGGTCCGTTGAGATGCCCAGTCGGCGAATTCACACACGTAAGCGCGGACATAAACACACGCTCGCTTGCGCGCACACACACTCACACACCCATTACCAAACACACACGCACACACATTCACAGCCTTATTCATTCAGAATCGTTGTTCCCATGGGGTGTGACCCCCACTGCGCACGGGTGGAACTACTAGCTCCTACATAAATCTGCACGACCATCTCTCGTCGCTTTAATAATAAGACAATAATTAAGTGCCAGCCGAGAAACAACTCCCGCGAAGGTCGTTGCTGTTTGCCCGCGTTGCAGAACATAGACGCTTTTTAGCAACAAGCAAAATGTAAAATAAAATATATAATTAAATGCGACTAAGGCAGAAAACACTTCTTTAACCGAGCAGTTTTGTAGTAAACTTTGAATCCTCGAAAAGCAATCAACAGAATAGCAGCCACGACATGAGAGAGTAAAAAACTTTACGTCTCGGACTTACACATATACATTGAAAATGGCATGGTCAATTCATTTTGCCCTTAAACTGTACGAAATCACTTTCTAAGTGAATACAGTACCTAAACATAAGAAGTGAAAAGAAGCGCATAGAGCGTAAAAGCATGGGAATAGGGAAAAGGGAAGGAAACGAAAGGGGATATATATCAAGAGAGACAAAGAGACTTGCTCGCCTTCGAACCCCATGCGCATCTCACGGGCTCGTTTGAGGATGCCAAGCGCGTAATACCCATAGCATTGACTGCTCCTCTAAGTCGCCTCTTCCTCACGCTCCGCTACCCCCTCCGCCCCCCTTCCCCGCCAGGTCTCGTACTCTTGTCCTTCACGCGAGACCTTCCTCGAGTCCTGACCGAGACTATTGACCTGCGCGGCCAGGACGGTGCGTCAGCCGCACCCTGCCAGGCAGGACTGGAGGTAATACATCTGTGAGTAGTTACACAGATAAATAAAGTGTTCGAATGGCGTGCACCTGCAACTGCAGCTCAAAACAATTTTGCACAATTTTAAGTGTTTGCATGCCTGGATATTTCAAAAGTTTCAAGTGATATGCAATAGTAAATTTGAGCACTTTGAAGTGTCCAAAGGTTCATCGCCAACCCTGGTGTTGAAAACTGCATTCATCAGTGAATTAAATTGCAAATTTTTCAGACTCAATCATTTGTTTTTAAACACTCATCATTGCATTAATATGTATCAAATCTATGGCAATTGAAATAACAGGGAAGACACTTTAATTTTGGTGGGATAGTCTGAGTGTTTCACTAAAAATGAACAAGCTGCAGGCGAAACAGAACAGGCGGTCGCGACGGTTTTGCGAGGTGCGGCCTCTAAGCTCCGCTCCGCTCCTTTACTCCGAGTGGTGAGACGTGTGCGAACGCAAGGTCCAAGGCTTTCCATTCGAAGCCCCCTCGCCGGCTAATCGCCCAAGGGCAACTCGCCCGCTCCCGAACTTGGTCGGACTCAGCCATTTCGTCGCCTGGGCGGGTGGGCAGGCGCCTGGTAGGTAGGCAACAGACTCACACCGCTGCACGGCGGGAGTGTCCGCCGCTTGGGCGGGCAGGCGCCTGGCGGGTAGGCAACATACGCACACCGCTGCACCACGGGACGGCCTACGCTGCAGGGGCTCCCTTACCCAGCTAGCAGGAAGTGACATGGTGACATTGTTATCGTTAAATACTGGCTTACCGTTTCTTGGTGTTTACTCCTGGAGCCGGCCCTGGCGGCGTTTGACGAAGGTTCGAATGCGTTCCGGCGTCGTGCCCTGAAACAGGGGGATGTGCTGCTGTAAATTATTTTTTTTAGGTTTGAGAATAAGAAATATCATCTTGTTTGTTTAAGGCATGACTGCACGCACAAGCGAGCCCCCTTCCCCCCCACCCCCACCCCCTCTCGTCTTGCTCTCCACCTCTCTCACTCCTCGTATCAGACGGACGCCGACACAAAGTTTTGCATCACGACTTTTAGCCTCCAGATGAGAACGGAGTGACTGATGTTACCGGCAGCGGCGTGGCGTGGCGTGGCTGGGCGAGCCTGTGGTCACTCGTCAACACGTGCGTTCGCTACCTAGCCTCACGCCGCCACGCCTCGCTTTTGACAATGGGCGTGTCGAATGGTCCACTCACCCCCCCCCCCCCTTTCCTTTCGCTCTCTCTAACTCACTGTGTCGGTACTCCCTGCGCACGCGCGCGTGGCTTTCCGTGGGTACACAGCACGCGCACGCGGGAGCAATCTTCAATAACTTCTCAACGTTCTCTAGTTTAGTTTTGCATTTTTGTGTTTAATGTATCATCTTCAAAAACACGGACCACGGACGACCAGAAAAAGGATTTGACATTCAGTTGTTGAAACCGTAACCGGCATGCTGAACTGTAACCGCACAAGGCCGGCTATCGCCGCGCCGGTCGTTCGCTCGGCGAGCGGCTCTCCATGCGGATGTTTTTGGAACGCAATTGCCTTCCGCCGTCGAAGGTGATGCATTGACAGTTCGTCTGAAGATGGCCAGCATCCCCACCTCCCCGCTCCTCCCCTGCTGGCGGCTAATGACCGGTCGTGCCCTAATCGCATTGCTGGCCACGGGCTACGCGCGGAGGTACCGGGGAGGTACCCGTCGCACCCGCGGAAGGACCGCGTCCGAAACGGCAGAGCGCAGGAAGGCGCCGCCATGGGCGCCACACAGACAACCGGCATTTTTATTATTTTCCGCCTCTTTTCGGACGCAGCCCCCCCAGAGGTACTCGAAACGGACAGGTACTAATACCTCTATTTGTCATGGTTCAAATGAGAGCGGGTTATTAATTTCGGGGGGTTCGCGACGGGTGGCTATCTCCTTCACTTGGGCCGGCCACGCCCTTGTGAGCGCCGCGCCACGTCGAAAGTAATGTCGAGCGAAACGGACCTGTGACGAACAACCACCTCGGGGGCTGTGCCTAAACCATGTTTAAAATTTTCGGCATTGGGAGACCCACTGACTGCGAGTCATTCTTCGGAAGCGAAACGCTATCATGGCCAAAGTCAGATTAGCAATATATAGAAATTACATGATATTTTACAATGTGAAAAATTGTACCGGGTACAGGAAATTTTTCCACAGACGCAGACGGTGTCGTAAAATTATAGTTCAGAATTGTAAATTTACAAGCACTGCGTATCGACTTGGAATCGAATAACGAGCAAGAGTTAGAAGTCGTGCATGCACGACACATTTTTTAATTGGTAGATTATAAAATACATCGTACACGTACGAACATATTTTACAGGGTTACCACGGTTTGGGCCATGGCAAAAGTCAACCCTTTCGGTGGTCATACGATGTGGTTCAGGAACATCAGCCGAGTAACCTTAGCCAAAAGAAAATATTGTGCGGGTAATCGAACCTGTGGCCGGGCCAGCCGCGTGCGCCGAGTGCAGACAGGGCGGGCAGCTTGCATGTTCATCCCGCTCGCGACTTGTAATTACAAGGATTCCGGCAACACATTCTGTGTAAATCAAGGAGAGAGGTCGCCGAAAGAAAGAAATAAAAAACATATGTCTCGACTAAAACGGCAGCGCCGCGGCGGCGGCGGCGCGTCGTGTCGCCGGTCATTCCATCGCCAATCAACACACGTACGAGGGAGATGACGGCGGATAAGAACGGGACAAGGCGGTACACTGTAGTGTTTGTTCCCCAATGCAGCACCACTATATCCAATAACCATAAAGGCTGCAACTTTAAATAAGCGACACGAGTCTAAAAAAATGTGTACCCTGCCTGAAGATGTGTGAATGTTTCAGAAGTAAATCAGTGCTTTCGCTCAATGCAAAAGATACATATGTTGCCTGGTAAAAAAATGCTGTATTAGGATGAGCAAATTCCATTTTATAGCAAAAACGGTTTATATTGGGAGCAAAATAACATGCAAAAACATCTCAATTTAATAGAATTTTTCTTATTTTCGAGGAAGTCGCTGATGTCTATTTTCCCGACACCGACATTCCCAACACTATTTTTCGACTGCCAGCAGCGTTGTATTGCGAGTAGCACGCCTTTCGGTGACCACGAACGTAAAACGAGACATCACATAATTTATATATGACGAGGCGATCCGCGACGTATAGCACGTTATTGCCGTTGTCCAAAAGAGGAGGTGGAAAAGAGGTGGAGGCAAGGCAGCGAAAACAGGTGTTAATGCAAAAGATAAGAAAAACAATCAGTAGCGCCTTTATTTTTACGTATAGTTACTACCAAATTTCAGCATTTAGGCTGTTACCGGGCACTACCTACGGAAATCATAAACACTACAAATTATTTGTGTATGTGGAAGGTGTGGGCGGAACGAGCAGGAGCGGAGTTGACAGGGGTAAAAGGGAAAAGGGGGGAGAGGGGGGAGGCGAGGTGTTCAGACGCACGGGATGGGGAAGAAAAGGGCGGGGGAGTGTAGAGGTGAGGGTTGGGGGAGGGAGCGAGGACAGCATGTCATCAATTTACAACTTGCGCTGCAAGATTTGCGCGCCCCGCCAGAGTATGACATTCATGGCAACATTTACCGACCCTCGAGGGCCGCGGGTGGCCCGCGGGGCTGACGAGCGTTTTTACAGCCTTTTCCCCATTTCAGGCAGGCGGCTCCGGTCCGAGGCCTTACCCGGCAGACACGGTATTTCTTTCTTGTCTCGATTTTCCGAGACCAGCCAGAAACCAGTAAACTTATTTTGACTTTTCCATTGGATAGGCAAAAGGAAAATATAATATATGATTTAAGCGAATACTGTTGGCGTCAATTAGAACGACATTTTGAAATAATTGGTGTAAAGAAATAAAAGCCAAGTGAGAACGACGACGCGCCGGCTTTCTCTGAAGAGGACTTAGGAATCAGAGAGGAGAGCGCCGGAAGAACGAAAGGAGTAGAGAGAGAGAGAGAGAGAGTGTGTGTGAGAGAGAGAGAGAGAATGTGTGAGTAGGAGAGAGACAAAAAGACGAGAAGGGGGTGGTAAAGCGGAGACAGCAAACCATTGCAGCGTCAAAACAAAAGCAAAGGGCCGCGTTTTGCTAATAGCAGAGGCTCGTCGTCGGCGCCTGTGTCCCTTTGAGGAAGAGCTGATTTAATTGCCAACATTAGGCGCCAACTCTGCCGCGGCGTGGCGGAGCGTGGAAGGGGGTTGGGGGGATGCCGTGCGGTGCGGGTGATGGGAAGGTCCGCCACCACGACGGGCCACTGCTGCTGTTTTCTCACCCCCGGACTGATGCAGCAGGCCGGTGGAGCTGGATGAGGCGCAGCAGTAGCGAAAAGGCCTCCGCGTTGGGATTTCCCTCGAGCCCCACCTCTCTACCCCCTTCCTTTCCAAACTTTGACGAGGCCACCGCCATAAATCCCTGCGACCGGAGGGGCGCAGATTAATTGGTTGAGCGAAAATAACTTCATTAGCGAATCAGTGTGTATATGCATTAATGGAGCCATCACATGCCGCCGCTGCCCATCCACCCCTATGGGCTACACCGTGAAAAATTTATACGAAGCGGTCCCAAAGCCCCCCCCCCCCCAAAAAAAAAAGAGGTAGGAAAACGTGTGACTCATAGTGGTTAATTACGGATGATGTGATAGCGCCGAAATGTATATGTAAACTCGGGCTCCTTGGTGCCTCGGTCGGAATGGCTGTCAGCTTACCCCGCCCTCTCCGCCTCTTTCGGGTCCATCCTGGATTGCCTCAATAAAGAACACCGCCGGGCCTCAAGGCCAATCAGCCAGGGCTCTGCACGACTTGGCAGACACACCGCACGAAACAATAGCGCCGCAAACTGAGTACCCTGCGATAAGCTTGCGCTTCGAAACCCATCAATGAAACACAAACGTCTACTTACTCAATGCGGTCTACAGTTGATTCTGAGACAAGCATAACCACTGAGTGGTAGCGCTTTCATGTGAAAAATTTAAAATAATAGTAAATGAGCAGCAAAAAAGGAGTGTCACATTCAAATACTGAAATTTGTATGACAACAGTTGCACAGCTATCCTGGCGAATAAAACTCTTTACTTCTATCTCGCTACTAACGATTTGCATAAGCCCCCGTTTACTCTTTCGCCACTTCCGTAAGAAAATGCATTGCTGGGGGTTTAATTCACGACTGTTTATCCGAGTGTTACAGACCCACAATGTGTACCTTTTCCGCAACAACAAAAAAACCACAGCCTTTTGAATCATGTGCAGGCGAAAAACGGTGAAACGAGAGGGCTTTACCTGTGAGCGCATTATTTTGGTATATTTGTAGAAGGTGTGCCACTCGGCGGCGCCGCCGGGCGCCGGGGTGGAGCTCCGAAAACGGACAACAAATCGGCGTCGGACACGCGAACACCCCGGCCGCCGCGGAAACCAAACCCCAGCGGGCGGGCCACGTCAGAACGAGCAGGCACGACGCATTCGGACGCGCTCGGCGAAGTCCCGCGGTCATTCTCCGCTGTTCGGGCGCACGCACGAGTTACGGTCTGTCGCCTTCCCCGCGGGGAGGGACACACTAACTGTTGAATGGCATTTTCTTCCGCATTTTGTTACACTTTTGAGAACGCATCATTTTCTTTTAAGTCAAAGTTTGAAAACTGTGTATTGATTTGGAATGGAACTTTCATGACGAATTTAAACAATTCTGTGATGTGAATTCTGTGATGCGGTGCACCAAATATCAGCTAAATAAACGCAACCTTTTCTAAAAGGAATATTTTTCCACAATATTCCAGGCGAAGGAATATTTCAGACGTCGCCTTATTTACCATGCTATTTTTATTTCTTTTAAGA